TGATGTGGCAAAAAATCACTTCCTCACGCGCCTAGTAGAGTGTGTTGTCAATTTCTATGCCAAGTGGACAAAAAAGGTGTATGCAACGGAGGAATAAGCAAGTTCGGGGTAATTAAAACGGAATTTAGTTTAGGTGTACACCGTATAAAAAACTTCAAGTTCAGGGGATAATGAGTACTTTTGCCTTTAGATCAAAGATGCAATTTTTCAAATCATGTGCATGGTTCATTTGGTTTGTCATCTTGTTTTCAAGTAATTTTCAACTATTATTTTTTTATGTCAAATCTTAACAATTAAACCGATAACTAAATTGATAATGATCAATAATTGGTAAGATAGTATATTTATGGTTCTATAACGGTTTAGCATATACACAAACTGATAACTGATAAATCAAACAAATACTTCAAATTGAACTAATTGATACACAACCGTAAGCATACCCTCTAGGATAAAAAAATTGTAGTACTTTTGCTCCAAAACTAAATAAACCGTGAGGAACTTTATGTGTTGCAATGTATATAGAGGAGAAAATAAGGATGACCAATTACCCGTGCAAAGAAAAAGACCGAAGAGGAAGAGAACTTGGGACCTGTTTGAAGAGAAGAATTTTTTGAGCCAAGGATTTAAAAAAAAAAAAAGAATTTATCAAATATGATATTTTGATAAAATCAATTAACTAAAGGAATTTAGTAGAGTATTAGAAAAGGGCAAATTTGTCAAATTGTATTTTATTGCATTAATGAAAAATAGATTAGAAAGAATTGTTAAAAAAAAAATCAAAATAAGGGAGGTATGCATAATATCGCAAATCTCGAGGGACGTGAATGTTATTGAGTGAAACGTGAGAGGAGGTCTCTCAAATTGTCCCTTCATCAAATCATACGAGTTCTAATTTATTATGCTTAGATTATATTCTCTCTATCCCATTTTATATGAGTTAATTTGATTCGGCACAAAGTTTAAAATATAAAGGAAGACGTTAGAAACTGGTGATAAAAAATAAGTGAGTGATAGATATTTGTGTCCGTCCCATTTTATATGAGTTGATTTGACTCGACACAGAGTTTAAAAAAAAAAGGCATTTGAAACTTGTGATAAAAAAATAAACAAGTGATAGATATTTGTGTGACTATAAATTGTTAAGGGTTAAGTTGTTATTTAATATAAAAACGTGTCATTCTTTTTAGGACGGATTTAAAAGGAAAGTAAGTCAGATAAACTGAAACAGAGGGAGTAATTAAGACAAAATCTATATATTTACATCTAATTAGCGTAAACATTGACAAAAGAGTAAATTTTTACTTTATTCTAGTTCATCCGTTCATTTTTACTTGTTATATTTAAACTTGACATCATTAAGAAAATAATGATTGATATGGTTAGTTTATTACACTATTATTTTTTATACGGAAAATGGTCAAAACTATTCTTCAATTATTCGAAATAGAGCAAATATACCCTTCAACTATATTTTGTCTCAATACTATCATTCCCGTCTTACTATTGGATCACTTCTATCCTTTCATTTAACGGAATAAAATGTGACATTAACGGAATAAGATGTGGCATTCACTGTGTAAATTATAATACCACATAGACGTCCACCTAAGCACACCCACCCCACCCACTAAATGATCCAACCTTGCCCCTTCACTTCCACCATCGACTCCACAAAGAATAATTTCTCTGGCACTATATTGGCCCCCACCGAACTTCATTTTGTCCGTCAAGATTCGCCCATCCCCGCATCGCCCTTTCGCTCTTCTCCTTTGTTGCCACACTCTCAGAACCTCTCTCAGTTGGGTCAGCCTTTTATCCAGTGTCAATTGACCCAACTCTCTTCAATAACAATTGTCTCTTCTTCTTCAAAAGTTATATTGGACAAGTATCGATTTCTTTGATAGAGAATTCAATTGAGTTCGTTAAAAATCAGGCAACTTGACATTTATGTGGACAATCATCTCACTGTCCATGGAATCGACGGTGTATTGGACCATCGAAGACGATTCACTGTTGCTGCTGTTATGATCCGATTTTGAAAACTAAAGGTTTCGAAACCTTTTCGCAACTTTATTTTATTAACCTTTTGGAAAAATGATTAATTTAGGAGTCGCCACTTAATTTTTTAGAAAAAATAAGAAAATTATTTTAAAAAGGAGTTTTTGAAAGGAAATATTTTAAATAAAATCAAAATCAGGTAAGGGTTCAAATAATCCTCTAAGGAAGGGTTTAAGCATCTTAGAGAATCCGCACATGCGGTTGACCGACGAATTTTAAAAGTTTTGGCTAATTTTATAAAATAAAAAGAATTACTTATAAAAATTCCTGTTTAAAACTTAGATAAAAATCTTTTGAAACTTGCAAAATCTCAAGAATAATTCTAACTTAAAATTTTATCCATAGTCAAGTTTTTGAACTATACAATTAATTCAAACTCATAAACATGGACTAAAGCTTTTCAATAACTATGAAAGAACATGAAAGACTCTTAAGTTATTCTAATAAACTTAAGTTGTCTAACTTAAAACAATTTGACAAGTGATAAGAAACAAGAGATATGATTTAAGAAATAACATTGATAACTCTGGTGAGGATTCATCTAGTTCAAAGGCAAAACAAACAAGAGTTAGTAAGATCATAGCAAACACACCATATAAAAAGAGTTAAATATAAATGAGAGAATAAAATTTGGGCTTCCTGACCCTTAATCTGCTCCTTGTTCTGCTGCTTCTGGCGCTATTTTCCGACCTTTTAAGTCGAAGAAAATGCTAAATTCAGCACTTTAAGGCTGCTGCAACTTTGCCTCATTAATTATGGGTTTTAACCCAATTTTGCTCCTCGTTTTTCAGCTTTTTGAGGCGGTTGCAACTCTGCTTCAGCTGGTGCCATTTTCTAACTTTCAACTCCAAGAAAATGCTACTCTTTTAGCCCTTTAGGCTACTGTTGGTGCTGTCTTCTTGGTGTTTAATCCAATAATATTAGCTTCCTTTCAATCGGCTTAAAGGAGGTTGACTCAAAGAGAAACGAATGCAAGGATGGGAGTCCCATTAGACTCGAACAAGAAGGTTCATACACAGAAAAATGGTGGAAACAAAGATTAGCAAAACAATTAAGCGAAAACCAATGACTTAATGACAAGCAAGTGATATAATTCAATCCAATATTAGGAGTTTAGTTCAGGAAGTCAAAACAATACATATGGAGCTACAGAAAGATAGGACTAGCTTGATCACATAATTGTTTCCATTAATCACAACTCAACTTTAACTATAATATATTAGCAACAGTGATTAACTTCAAGGAATAGAAATTAATGGTTGTCAACAGCCAAAATTTAAAGGAATACAACTGAAGAAAACTTGAAAGAAAATCAATCCATATTTCTATCAATATTCAATTTCCGACAAGACAGACATACTAAAAATAATCAGTTTTGGCAAAACAGAGACAAACTTCAGCAATACAATTGATGAGCAATTTAAGAACCACCAAGTTCAACATAGCATTTTAAGACGAAACATTTTGATGTAGAGGAGTAAACGACTTATATTCTTAATCATATGCATTTAAAGAGGGCAACGAGAAGGAAGGAAACCATCAGTTGTACAGCATGAATTAAAAAAGGCATGTGAAGATAAAACAGTTAACAGACTAAAGAGCATACACTCCAGGTTCAAAAACTCAGCTAAAATAGAGAGATAACAGACAACAAATCAAATGGACATGAAGATTTGACTACGGAATAGTTGCGGACCTATTTTACATAGCTATTCCAACTTAATCAGGAACAACAACTAGAGGCACGCACATGAAAATAAACTTACTCTACCCATGGAACAACAAAACTAAAACTAAAAGATCACCCAAAATCAACATGAAGGACCTATACGAAGTAGTCCAAGATAAAATAAAAAGTTATTGAACTCATATGCATATTAATAGCTAGAGAAAAACTATCTCAGGGAAGCTAAACAAAATTTAAACATGATGAGAGAATTAAAGAAACAAGAAACAGAACAAAAAAATGAACATAAGCATGTTATTATAACACAGCAAGACAAATACAAATTTATAGCCTCTGCCAAAAAAAATCATCACTACCAATCAACTAAAGAAGAAATAACATAACTGAATAAAAAAAGGGAGGGAAGATCACCTGATTTTGGGAAGCGAACCGGACAACAAGTTTGAACGTGACGAATTCCAACACCACTCCCACTCAAAATAGCCGCAAATCAACAAAATTTCAGTGACGAAAAATAAGAACTCCTAAAACACTTAGCTGGGTGTTCCTTTTCTCGCCTCCCAAAAAACTCCCTTTGAACAGTGAAGAGAAGGCCTATTTATAGGACCTAAAATCTCACGAAATTTGGAAAGATTTTTGATGTGGGACTACTGTGAATTCGAAATTCTTTTAGAAAGTGCTTGGAAACCTCGAATGGTACTAGAGAGGGTAAAATCGAGAGAAAAAGAATTGACAAGAAATAAGAAGGACGAGTCATTGTTTGAATTCTTACTCCTCGCTGGATAAGAAAGGACGAACGGGACAGCTATATGAAATTGATGTTCCTCGCCAAAAGTTGGATAAACCACGGCTAGGACTCGTTGGAATTATTGGGTTCGCGTCGTTCTTCTTGTGAAGGAGTAGAGGAACGTGTGAGGGAGAGAGCATGAGTTCTGGAAAGTAGAAAGAATAGGAAAAAGGAGAGCGTGGAATAGAAATTTAGGACAATAGAGAAATAATTAAGGGTCTGGGCTGGTTTATTGAGAAATTGGGCTTAAAATTGGATCCAAATAAATGTATTTCATCGAGAAATTGAATTCGAAGAATGCGGTTTGATGTAAATTAAAATTAGTTAATTGAGCTTCTTAATTTAACAAGATAAAATAATTACTTTGAAATGGAAGATCGACTATACAATTAACTCATGAATTAGTTATTATTATATTTTATTTAGAGAAATAAAACATACTCAATTAAAACACTATTTTTTGGTAAACTGATTTTCTCAAATATTCAATTAAAAATGAAAAAAAAAAATAATAATATATATATATATATATATTATAAATATAAAAACATATAATCTATATGAAAAATTGCAAAATGTCTTGAAAATGATTTTGAAAGTATTTTTTTTTTCGAAAACAATTATTTCAAATTATTTGAAATTGAAAAAGCTTGAAAATTAAAAAAACTGTAGAAGGTCAAAATTGGGTGTCAACAACTGCTACTGCGTTAACCATCAAACGGCCGGAGTTGTTAAGTTTGACTTCTTTTCTTTTTTTTCCCCATTTTTGTGCCTTCTGATATAGCTTTGTTCTTGCAACCTGACGATTTCTATTGCGATTGTCGTTACTATGTTGCTCCTCGACGGTACCGTTGTAGGGATCTTGTTGAAAATGCCAAGGGTGCTATGATTTTTCAAACTATTTCTCCGAACAAGACAATGGGCGTAAAAATCATCAACTCGTTCTAACGGTTGGCAGCGTTTAATAGTACAGAGGTTTATAGAAATCAGTGGATTGTTATGTTATTATTGTTATTTGTGTTAATGTCGTTAGATGACACCGACTATTTACTTGATTTTGACAGTTTTGTGCCTTCTTCAACTCCGGTGACAATGGACATCCGTTATCCGGATGAAAGAATCAATGATTTTAGTCTTTTACCACCACTGTTCAGTTACCGTCTCCGGCAACAAGGAAGATCCGCTATCCGGATGAGATGATTAGTTATAACACAGTGTTTAGTCTCCTTCGCCGGAGACAAAGGGATTCCTTTATCCCAATGAGAAAAAAAAACGGTTGACGACGGTGTTCAATCTCCTGGGTCTTTTAATGGGTGGGGTGGATGTGCTTAGGTGGACGTTTATGTGGCATTATAATTTACACATTGGATGTCACATCTTATTCCGTTAAAAGAAAGGGTAAAAGTGATCCAATAGTAAGACGGGAAGACTAATTTTGAGCCAAAATATTATTGAAGGGTATATTTGATCTATTTCAAATAATTAAAAATTAGTTTTGACCCTTTTCCATTTTTAATATTATGTATTGAATGATGATTTGGGGGATAAAATACGAAATTTTTTATTTAACCAGGAAAAAGTGAATGAAAAGGGCAATTGGGGACTATTCAACTCTATCTTATTAGTCATTGCTAACCACTCTTGCTGTCTTTTAATAGTAACATCCAAAATTATTGGTCCACTGGCTTTGGCAATTGGCCCCAGTCCAGTAGCTAGTAGCCAGCCACGCTTACCAAATATGACAAAAATAAATAGATTATCACAAGTCAAAAAGATATTTACATGCGGTCACCAACGACTATCCGTGTCCCATTTAGACAACAGCTATTCCTTGGAGTAATAAGGAGGACTATCCTTGGTGACACGTCCAACTAGTTAAAATCTTTCTTTTCTTTTTCTGAATCCAAATAAACGAGTAGAGTGTAATTTCCCTTTTACCCTTGGATCATTGTTATATATATACGCAATGTATATTGTATTGTTAAATTTCGTTATTACGTAAAAATGAAAACCCCCATTTTATGGAACAACCGATTTGACGTGTTCCCGTTGTTACTTAATTTATTTTGCTAATTATATCTTACTTAATATTTCATAATACTATTTTACCATTTATCCTATATTATTTAATCCTTATCAAACCTCTACCCTAGAATAATTAATGTCATTTTAATAAATTTATAAATTACAATAGTACGATATGGTCAAACCAAACAATAAAAAATGTCATTAAATAACAACAAACAAAATCATCTAGCCAAACATTGTATCTATCCTACAGTACAATATAATACAATACATCATGAAACAATGAATAACAATGATCCAAACAGGGGGTCACAAATGAAATCTGAGACCCGAAGCAGTGCGTGGCAATTGCAAAGTCATCCTTTTCTATTTTCTCTTCTAAGTCATATTTACAAGTCGCAACCAGATGGAAATCAGATAACTGTTGACAAGGAGACAACTGAACAAGCCAAGGAAGGTGATTGAGGCCACCACACTTCATATGACTCTTTCTGAGGGAGCCGTTATTTATTGTCTGAGCAAGTTAGGATCCTTCTCATGTCGGGTAAGCCCCCCACTTGTTGGCCTGCAGGTTACACGCAATACAATTTTTTAGCAGAACACAGAATCAAACATCTTTAATAAGCAGCCAGCATCCACTACTTCAATTCTACATAGAACCTCAACAATTTTACGTTGGAGTCCTTACTTTCCTTTATTTATTCATGAAATTTATCTGCACAAGACTATCATTTGTCACATCAAGGAACTCTTACACCTAAAGTTAAGCGAGTCACTTGATTTCAGGTTTTGCAAAATTGTAAGCATCTTGATGAGCATATTCACCATTAACATTTGGAGCTATAACCAATCTTCTTATCATAGTTTCTTTATGAATTTTTCAAGTCCAAAAGCACAAAGCAGGGAGCAATAATGACAATAATAAAGGAAACACATCCTTCCCCAGTTCCGCCAGTAGTATTTGTTGGTGTATATGCATTTTATTATTAAAATAAAATATTAAGTGCATATGTTAATGGGTATAAATTGTGGTAGAAGATGACTATTGATTCTTGTAACTTATATGACTATTAGTTCTTGTAACTCTTATGATCATTAGTTTCTTGTAACTCATATGACCATTAGTTTCTTGTAACTTATGTAACATCTATCACATTCATCTACCCACATTACTACCCCTCACTCTACATATTGATTATATGGAAGATTTTTTCACCTATAAATAGTGACGCTTCTTCCTTTGTGAAGTATAGTAAGAAAAATGTTTAAGTGTGAAAAATATTGTAGTGGATAGTAGTGAAAGAGAGAGTTGAGACACATAAAATATTCCAAGTCTTTAACTATATTAATTATGTATAAAAGAGAGTATTTATATGTTGAAGGAAGTCTGGAGTTACTTGAGTTGTACGATGTTGTTGGGTTGTTGTATCCTGGAGGAGACAAGTCAAGAGACATATTGCTGGATTGGTGTAGATTATGCTGCCATGGGCTTGAATCTCCTTAAAGAGAGCGAGATATCCACGTCTCAGCCTAAATATTTGTTTATTCAATTTTGTCATTTTATTTTCAACTATAATTTATATTTGTGGTATATTACACCAACAATATTCAAATAGCTAAGTTCAATGGACAAATAAGCTCACAAGTGAAGGCACAAAAATAATCGAGCATTTGGAAAGAACTATACGAGAACTACAGAAAGAGAATAGTAGTAAACTTACAGTCCAGTTAACACTTTAATTGTGTCATAGAGAAACCATTGCAGAGTCGCAACAGGGCCCACAAGTGTGATTCGAACAGGAAGACTTCTCGTAAACAAATTAACAAGTCCAATCTCTTTAATAGCCTGAAAACATCATGTCATTTTTTCCAACTAATTAGATTTTTTCAACTACACTTGAATATCATACGTACTATTTGACAGAAGTTTTACCTGTCTAACTGTCTCAGCCTTTCTGTTGTAAAGAAACGAGACAATATTATCAGCGGGATTAGATATTACAGCACCAACAGATCCAGCAGCATAGCCTGATAAGCATGTCACACTGAGTTGCTCGGCTCTTGAGCAATCTTCCTTCCTTCTCTGTATGACCTTCCGGTACATCAGATCTACTGAGTGCTCAAATGTCGAAAACATGATCATGGAAACTGCCAACAGAAGGGGAAGCACATAGAAAGTCATAATTACAATCTCTAAAAGCAGAAACCCAGACATTGGCAAACCACAGCTGGTAATGTGATTATCATATTGTATAGCGCATCTATATGCAGCAAGACTTCAAAGTCAAATTTGATTAATAATCACATTCTAGAAATTGTGAGCAGGGCCAGGCCACTATATTTTGTACTACGTGCAAACTTGTATAGTAGCCGATGATAAAGAAAGCCAGACAGTAAATGAAGAACTGAAGCAACAAGAAGATCCTATGCAGCAGCCACATGATGCCAAATGCCACTTTTCAATGGTAAATAACAGATAAATTGATGGGCAAGAAATCTACAGGATACACAAAATGCACACTTATTACTCCACTCTATCCTACCCAAGGACACTGATATGAGTAAACTTTACCAGGAAAGCCCCATAACACTTCTGAATGACAACATGAAGGAAAATGAGGGGTGGTGGGAGGGATGATAGAAAAGACTAAATTAAGTAAAGATTTTACATGGAAGATTACGCCCCCAAAGTGGAAAGAGTCCCTTGTAAAAGCTACAATGAAGCAAAAACAAACTTCAGCATCAATGTGCAAGGTGGATAGCAATAAAACAAACAATGCATACTTCTTGGACTTTACCCTGAAATGCCTTCATTCACATACAATTTGCGAAATCCATCAGTTAATCCCCTGGCAAAATGAGGCTGAGTTTGGACCTGAACTTTGACAGCTTCAAAGGGACAGAGGGCCACATCAGCAAATACTTGAGCTGATGCACCGCTGAGGAAGAATATAACACTCCTACGTTGATCAACTAACAATTCAGAATAGGACCTTTTAAAGTATTCATAAAGACCAAATTTAAATCCTCCTTGAACTCCATATCCGAATAGTTTCCCTGACCAACCTCTCCAGAGAGCAGAATGGCCTTGCTCTCTCCATAGTGTTATAAGCCCTGATGAAATGCCTCGGTATTTGAGAGGGTCCACCTAAAGCAAATAAAGGTATTATCAAAACATACTAGATTAGGCAAGTTACTTCCTCTTTTGCCACCCTTTAATTTTAGTTTGTTTGTCATGAGGCACAGTGACACATGGAGTTTACAGATATGTTACAAGAAAGAAAGTTGTGTGTTCTAGTGCAAGACTGTTGTAAAGAAGTCACAAGGTTCAATGGCTTGAAATCAAGACATGTGATCATTTGAACAGAATAAATACAGGCACGTATCCAGCTCCTGGAGTTTCCAATTACCAGAGCAGGTAAAGAAAACAAAATAAACAACTAAACATTAGACATACCAGAAGAACGCCATCAGAAAGAATCTTAGAGTTGGAGTTTGTTTCTTAACATATAGGACCAATTTATTAGTGAAGGTTTGCAAAGTACATAATTAGACACTCCATGAAACAAGTTCTCTTTAATCCTAGCTTCATAAGTTTTATTCCTTTCTCTTTACCAGTACTAATTGGAGTAAGTTTTCTTTTATGTTTTGATCTATTGAGTGTCAGAAGATGAACCTATTGAAAACAATCCACAAAACTAAAGAAGATTGTGGTGTTGGAAAATGTGTAGTTTGCTATTCGACCTCTATAGATAAGAAAGATCCACAGTATACAATTACTAGAAAACAGTCGCACGTGCATCTAAATCTTATGTCACTGTCATAGCACTTTGGTGATCTCAATCAAACAACAAAGTCAACATACAGCCATTTATTGTAAGTGAGGTTCAAAGTATCTTTACACTTTGTTGGGATGGTTGTTACATATGGTTTCATGTTGTATCGTATTATTATCACAAAATTAGGCATCACACCAAATTGTTCTAGGACTTCTCGTCATTATGTAACGATGGATTTAAGAATACAATACAATAAAATTAAAGTAACTGTCAAAACAAATATAGTATTTAAACTAACAATACATGCACAATCCAAACAAACTATATATTGACATCGAGACGGAAAGCAAATGTTAAGCACTAATTATGTCTTAAGGAAGATGATTCAAGGCTAAAGGGATAAGTAGTTGTAGAAAGGAGACAGGAAAAGAGGACTTTGGGGTTTTTGAAATCCAAATGAGGGCAGATTTGCGGTGAATTGAATAATTAAGTCAGAGAAAAATAAATTGGATGTGTAGTTACCTGCATGTTAACCTTCAAGACATCGAGAGGAGTAATGGCGAGATGAGTAATGCCAGCGCTGAGCATTCCTCCAGCTGTACAGAGACCGTAATACCCAGCCGAGAACTCCTCAACCTCGAACAAACTTTCACCTTCCATTTTCATCACCTAATTGATTAGCAGATACACGCTATATATATAGTGGTGGTGGTGCTCAAATAAAACTTGGAAGTTTGGAGGCCAAGAAATTTCTGTTGCTCCAAAAATGTCCACGTTTCTCATGTCAACCAGCCGCTCTACGATGTATATATTGCCATCAAATCCAAGGTCATTTATGGGCGGAGTGACCGCACACCTCAACTAAATAGACAGCTAATTTCACTACCACTTTTCTTTTCTTAATTTCATACATACATAATACATTATCACATCACATTTCATATAGACAAAAATTAAATAAATTATTGATATTGGGTAAAAGTTAAAAATTAATGTATCACTAACTTTAACTTAAAAAAGAGATAATTTAGATGTATTTTTGACACTTTACTCTAATTGTGAAAGGTATTTTTTGTATATAATTATTTTTACATAATATAGGTTATTTTTAAGGGCAAATTACAGAAATCACATACTTTTAAGGCAAAATTACAATTTATCCCTTAAAAGTTTATAATTACAAAAATTCCTCAAACGGATACAATAATATAAGCGTTGATACATTAATCTGATGCACGAGATACATTAATCGTTATATAAGATACATTACATTTTATACATGATATACTAATCTGATGCACGAGATACAATAATATAAGCGCTGATACATTAATCTGATGCGCGAGATACACTAATCTGATGCGCGAAAATGAGGGATTTTGGAAATTTATAAAACTTATAAGGGATAATGGTAATAAGTAAACTAAAATGTGGGATTTCTGTAATTTTTCCTTTTTTTAATACACAAAACCAAATACTATGTATAATTAATACAAACACTACTAATATACTCTTTTAATAACCTAACCGTTTTTATCCTAAGAAAACTAAAGAGAGAAAATTTATATTTGTTGCCTATTACATTTGTACGGGGAAAAATGTACTCCCACTGTCCCAATTTATGTGATACATTTCGCTTTTCGAGAGTTAAATAATTTAAGTTTGATCGGAAATTTACTCATGGAATCTTCAAATTTTTCAAAATGAAATTTATATATTTGTAAACTACATAAAAAGTACTATAAGTCACAATAATTGATAATTCAAAATATTTAAAAAAGGGAAAAGACTCAAATATGCCATCAAACTTTCAGAAAAGGCTCATTTATGCCATCCGTTAAAAGTTTGGTTCATCTATGCCATTACCGTTTAAGAAAAGGTTCATTCATGCCATTATTTTTTAACAGTGGTTTTTGCAAAAACCATTTTTTTACACGTGGCCAATTATAATTCGGCCACATCATTATTATTTTTTTTAATTTCAATTTTTTGTTTCAGAATTTTTGATTTTTTTTTATTAAAAAAAAATTAAATGACGTGGCCGAATTATAATTCAATTTTTGTTCAGAATTTCAATTTTTTTAATAAAAAAATTAATGACGTAGCCGAATTATAATTGGCCACGTGTAAAAAATCTTATCAATCTATACTGTATAATGTATCAAAATCCAACATTATCAATCTTGCTATTTCATAAGTTTAAAATTCTGCATCTTTTAATTTGTCAAGAAAGAACTATTCAAGAAGTAGGAGAACATTTGGGGAGCACACCTATAAAAGATGCAGTATCTCATACTCCTCTTGTGCCAACTCATGTAACACTTTTAACTGGGATTTAAAAACCTGTTTACTACATTAGTATTAAATAAAATATTTAGTAGTTACAAAACTTATGTTAAATAAAATCATTGAGAGACATTTTAAATCAATACTTTAAACCTTTTTGCTGCAGCATCTTTTAAAAAACAACAATAAAAGAATATATCATGCTAAAGTACTCTTGAGAAAAGTTTAAAATCTGATGCTTCAAAGGTGTAAATCTTTCTCTAGATTTGATGATCAGGATAAGTTCTAAATTTGAAGATTGATAAATCATCCACTTCTCAAATGACTTAAATACCGATTACGTTCATTATAGAGCTAATTCAAAAAAACAGAGGAAGAAACAGCAAAGTAGTATTATGAATTTTATAGAAATTAACAATCAAGTTAATTTTTTCATTGACTATGAAAAAAAATTCAAAGATATTTATTCAATGACTAAGATCACCTCCTATTATTTGTGTCTTTAATTTGAAATTTCCGTTACAAACTAGCCATCCTATAATAACAAGAAAATTTTGTTATTCCGAAACATCCATATGCACTTGTTTTTAGTTTTTATTTTCTTTTTGAGGCAGTATTGTTTACCTGATATATCCAATTCTGAACTCACTTTCTACACATTTTTGTATATGATGAACTAGCCGTATTACTCGATCTTCAATGGCTAGGTTTATAAGGGGAAAAAATCAATTTAGTGAACCTGTCAAGATGCGAACTAATTGTGGGACAATTTGACTCTAGGAAATACGCCAAATTGCTTATGAAAAGCCATCTAAATGCTAGATCATACTCATATCTTTGGGGGGGGGGG